CCCAAGCGGCCGGCCCCTCCTGCCCGCCCCCCACGCCTGGCGGCTGCGCAGCAGCCCAGTCCGTGTCCGTGGGCTCACTCGCTCGGGGTGCTCGTAGTGGCGGCCTTCTGCGCCCGGCTCCTGTCGCGTGGTGGCCGGTCCCGACAAGGCACATCCACGTTGTCATGTGGCTCAGTGCTTCGTTCCTCCGGCGGCTGGATAAACGTCCCCTGTAAACAGATTTATTTTCAGAGGAAACTCATTCCCATGACTGTCACCTCTGAGTGGGACATCCACTGGAACGGCGCCCCCAGATGACACCCCCACACGAAGGTCCCCCCCACGCAAGGCCGAGCCTGGCCCTCCGCCTGCCCCGGATGCCCCAGCCCCCGCCACCCCGCTGCCCCTTTTCTCCTTCCCAAGTGCCGCCCAGTTTGCTGACCCCTCGCACGGACTTTGCTGCGTCCGTCTCTCCCCTGCGTCGATGCGGCTCCCAAGGGTGCAGGGTCTTGACGCCAGCGCGCGATGCCGGTCTGCAGGCTTCAGGCATGGCGGCCGGGGCTGGCACCAGCGTCAGCCGCGGGCTCTTCCCCAGGTTCCGGCCCCCTCAACGCCGGGGGCTGCGTTCCTGGGGTTTCCAGCCACAGAGTTCGTGGTGCTTTGCTCCGGCGGAGCTCGGCGAGGAGTCGTGCGGTGGACACACACGTGTCAGAGCATGATGCGGGGAGAGGCCAGTGTTGCCTCCAACGAGCAGACGGTGGCCGAGGGGACACAGGCGGCCCCAGCACAGCGATGGGCTAAGTCGGGCTCCGAGGGCATCTCTCCCACGAGGAGAGAGCTCGGCACGAGGCGGCGAGGGCCAGAGACCCGAGGGTCAGCCAGGCTGGGACTCCATGTCCTTGCACGTGGAAAACGGAACGGCTTTCTCGTCTGTCGGTCAGCGGCGCTGAACGCTGCAGTTTGCTGGGCAGGGACGGGGCCATGGTGGCCTTTGTGATGACGGTGTTCGTTGTTCGTGTCTGGTCCTGGAGGGTGACTGGGGAGGAGACACAGCGTTTGACGCAGCAGTGAGCTCGATGTGTCACCTGAAGTCATGGCTGTGGGGTGCACCCCGTGACTTGAGATGTGTAGCTGGGGTGATGGGGAGCCACCAGAGGCTCGTAAGTGGCGGGGGGGGCGGTCTGTGGTCTGGCTCGCCCTGTGCAGACTCCCCCTGGGGTCGTGGGGGCAGGGAGCAGAGCTGGGGAGGAGGGGTTGTTGCTCTGCCTTCTGTCCAGGCACCTTCTTGGCCTCCCAGGGCCTGCGCCCTCTCCCCACCTCTGCGACCTGCCTGTCCCCCGTGGCACCCCCACCCACAGCCCCGTCCGGCCCCCACCTCCCTCCTGAGTTCCGACCCCAGAGACGTCAGCGTCGTTATCTGATTCCTCCCATTGGGGTGCAGGCTCACAGGAACACGTTGGGTCAGAGGCATCTCTGTCATCAGGGAGGTGTCCTTTGGGCTTTGGGACAGCGAGGACGGGGGCTGCGGGGCCTGGGAGGGGGCTCAGAGGGGCAGTGGGGACAGGGGCTCAAACGAGAAGGACAAAGATGTGTCAAGATAAAACATACCTACAAATGGGGTCGCTGTCCCTCAGGTCGGTGACCCCTGGCCATGGTGGCTGCTCATCCCAGGGGCGTGGGTGTGAAGGGGCTCTCGGTGCCCTCACCTCTGTCCTGGCACCTGAGCAGGCTGGACCTGACGCTGGAGAGGATGGGAGGGGCCTTCCTGGGACAGGTGGGCTCAGCCTCAGGAAAAGCGTCCCTCCTTCCACGCTGCGCGGTGGCTTAGCACCCACGGGGGAGCTCTGTGCCTCGGTTTCTCCATTCGCGAGAAGACTGTGCCGTGACAGCTCCACAGCTGCTGTGCGTGGCGTGCTCAGCGGAACCCCTGCAGACGGTGAGTGCTGAGCAAGCGTGAGCTGTCACCGTGGGGTGACCGTTTACCTCGTGCCCTGTGCCGTCGCCGTGCTCGGTCCTGGCCGTCTGTGCACAAGGACGTAACATGCAGCTCCTGCCCTCAACGAGTTCGCCATCCGATGCGAGACAGACGAACGGAGGAAACGTTAGATTGGGGAGGAAAATTCTGTTGCGGAGGGAGCTCCAGTTCCCGGGGGGGACGAGCGAAGGCACGGGGGGAGGAGGGGCGCTTCGTAGAGGTGGTGACATCTGTGCCTGGCTGGAAGGACGAGCGGGGCAGGGGAGGGGGCAGCACGTGGCATGGCAGGTGCACGAGCCCCGAGGCCGGGTGCCAGGCAGGAAGCAGACGGCCAAGCCACGGGGTGCACGTGTCCTGGGGGACCGGTGGGCGGCAGTCGGCTCCGGATGCTCATGGCTGGCCTTCGTCGGAGGCAGCAGAAACATTCCTGCCTGAGACAGCATGCCGATTCCGCGAATCCGAGGGCCCGGCCCACACCCCCACACTCCCACCTCCTGCCCCGGGGCAGCATGGGTGGAGGACACTCCCCCGGGCGCTGTCCAGGCAGCACCCACTCCAAGTTCCCTGTCGGCGCTGGCTGCGGCCACCCCAGCCAGGTGTGGGCAGGACCCAGGCTGGGCCCTCAGTAACCTGACGCTCGCCTGCAGCGGCCTGGGCTGCTGGAGCGCCAGGCAGCCCGGGGTCACGGTGCCCCCCTCCCTGCTGCCTGCATGCCTGCGGGTACATCCCCACCCCGCGAGGTCCCGTGGACAGAGGCGGCTGCTGCAGCCACGGGCCTGGGGGCTGGGTGGGCCAGGCGTCCTTGGTCCCCGGCAGAGTCACACGGCCCCTGCTCTTCCGCCGACTCTGGCCTCCGCTAGCGGCCGGCCTTGCTGGGGATGAAGAGTTCGCCCCTGCCCCTGGCTGGCTGTCCAGCTGTCCGGCTCGCCCCTCCCCCGACCTGCCCGGCGGGAGCCTCGCCCTTCACAGGCGCAGAGGCTGATTGGATGCGGGGTGATGGAGCGATAAGGCGCAGCCCCTGGAGCCAGCCTGCCTGGAGTCGCCCGGCTCTGCCACGGCCGAGCTGAGCCGCCTTGAGCGAGGGCCTTCACCTCGCTCCGCCTCGGTCATGAAACGGGGCCGCCACGCTCATCCCATCAGCCAGTCCGGCCGGGGGCTGGCGGGTTTGTTTTTGTTTTGCGGGCCGGAAGGTCTGCGTTACGGTGACTCTGGACTCTGCTCTGTAGTGTAAACGGTGCCATAGACGAACATGAATGAAGGGGCACAGCTGGGTTCAGACAAGACTTTATTCATGGTCACTGGGATCTGACCCTCCCAGAATTTTCACGAGTCACAGAATATTCTTCTTTCAATATTTTTAACTAGGGAACAGTGGCTGGGGGGAAGAATACCATTTCAAGGTCCCAGGCAAAAACGTGATTTGGCCCGCGGGTCCCAGTCTCTGTGGGGGCTTAGCACGCACCCAGCACCCAGCACCCAGAACCCAGCGCCCAGCATCCAGTACGCAGGCCTCGTGCTGATGTGGACGCCTGCTCAGTGCTTCACGTGGGGGGTGCTGGGGGTGTGAGTGTGGGGGGAGTGGGCTGTCTGCCGCATCGGCTCGTTGGAGAGGTGCAGGCGTGGGTGGAGGGGTCTGTCTTGGCAGAGAGCAGTGTCAGGGGGTGGCCCCTTTACTCTTGGGCCGCCACTGGACAGGAGTGTCCAGCAGTGCCCTTTAACTGGCTCCTCTCTGCTTGGGAAAGGGGCCCACGGCACTGGCTGAGCTGCCCACACGTGGCCCCGTGCCCGTCCCCAGAGCGAGGGCCTCCTGCCACGGCCCCGGGCCTCCCCTCACTGAGCCCTTCCCCTACACGCACGCCAAGGGCCTTGGGCCAGCTCTGCCCGAGGAGACCTTGGGCCGATGTCAGTAAGAAGAACGGCTCGTTCACCAGCAGCTCCGGCCCCACAGCTGGAGCTTACTCCTGTCTCTGGCACCAGGCGGTGTCGCCCGGCCTCGGTGCCTGAGGTCACATCCTGGGCCCCAGCCCGGCTGGAGGCTTCAGAGACTCTCTCAAAGTCCAGCGAGGGCCCCGTCGGGCTCCGTGTGCGGCCCTGGCCCAGGCTGGAGGCATTGCCTCGGCCCCACCGCTCTCCACGGCAGATGTGCAGAGGGCCTGGGCTGCAGGACCCGCCTCGTCCCAGACAGCTGTGACAGCTGCCGGGCAGGGTCTAGCAGGTCCTCTGCACGTGCCCAGGCCCCATCCTGTTGTTCAAGGCAGAGTTTCCGTCAAGGTCCCCTGCGTGTGCAGGAGACAGGGTCCGAGTTCTCAGACCGTGGCCGGCGGTCCCGGCTACATCCCTCCTTCCTCCCCTGTCTCAGGACTCAGCCGGCACCTGGGTGTCTGCGAGCTGGGTGGAGAAGGCCCTCTCCAAGCGCAAGGTGTTGTATCTGGGAGGCGGCGTGCCCGGCACCTGCACCCCTAGGGCTGGGGGCAAGCGCAAAGCGGAGGTGAAGGTGGGCGGGTCGTCGTCCATGTCCAGCACCGGGTTGTCCTGGCCCCGGGGGCCGGCGGGCGCCTCGGGGCAGGGGGGCGCCTGCCTCTGGGTCCACCACTTCTTGGCTTTCTGCCACTGGCAGCGGGCGATGATGGAGAAGGAGTCGATGAAGAAGACCTCGAAGATCTCGATGACGCAGACCACGGAGCAGCTCAGCCACAGGCCCAGCTGGCCGCCGAAGTTGGACAGCAGCACCTCCACCTGCAGGAGAGGCCGGGCCGTGCCGTCAGGGGTGCCCGCGCCCCGGCGGGCCTCACGCGGGGACCCCGATCTCTCGGGGAGCCACCGGCTAGTCCTGGCCCCGAACAGGTTCAGAGGAAGAAGTGGGCAGGCTTCCTGTCTCCTTCCTCTGCCCGCTCTGGTCCGAGGCCTGGCTGGCCTGGCGTGGCCCTAACAGCTCAGGCTAGACCCCCCCGTGATCTGACTCTGCTCCCCAAGGCCAGACCTTCACAGACCCAGGATGGGCCCCGGCGGGAAGCCACTTACGCTGTTGGCAGGGCTTTCCATGATGGACCTCTGGTTCAGGTCTTTGTAGAATATCAACAGCTTGGCCAGGTCCGTCCTGCAGAAAGGCCATCAGATAGGCCAAGGTGAGTCAGGAGCCTTGGCACTCTGCCAGGTGACCAGCCCTCAGCAAGGCTGCCTCCCTGCCGCCCAGCACGGCCCAGCCTCTGAGCTCCACGGGACCTCAGAACCTGGCCCAACCGGCACCTGATGTGCCCAGAGCACAGAGCCAGCATGGGCCTGGTGGCTCAGGCCATCCGTGCCCTCAGAACCACTTCCCCACCTCCAGACTGGGCCAGGCCGCCCAGCTACCCTCCCACAGCACCTGTTCTTCATGAAACCTTGATGGTTGTGATGATTTGATCGCAATCTCAATACGCACGGGGAGAAAGGCAGGTAACAAAGGTGTGCGCGGTGGGCGGGGGACAAGGCAACAATAACAGCCATTAGAGCAGCAGCTAACACTTATCGGACACGTCCCGTGCTGCCAAGCTCCTGAGGTGACTTAGCTCCTTCAATTCGCACAGCCCTACGAGGCAGGGTGTCTGAATCATCCCCATTTTACAGACGTGGGAGCTGAGACAGGACCCAGCTGAGGCCACGTGCCCAAGATGACACAGCCCACATGGCGGAGGCGGGACCGAAGCCCGGGGGACCAGAGCCGCCGCCTGAGCCGGCCATCACTGAGCTCTCTGGCGCTGTGCGAAAGAGAAGGTTTGCTGTGGCCAGCACTTTCGACCTTTCCGGAAAAGCTGGAGATAATGGGTCACTTCCCGTGGCGCTAGGTTGAGCCTCAGGGGTCACCGGTATGCAATGCCAGTTTCAGAGTGTACAGCTGCTTGGTCCAAGTCTGGACCACGAGCGTCTTGGGGGCAGGGGCCGCGTCTGCTTGGCCATCGTGGCACCCCAGCGCTCACGAAGCACCGGCCAGCAACCTCTAATACGCGTTGGAGGTGAGACTGGCCCCCACTGGCCAGGCCCGGCGCTGGGCGCTGTGCAGATGGTGCTGGTGCCCAGAGCTGTGAGTTACAGGGAGATTCCCGCACCCTCCCCGACCTTCGCCCTCATCCACCGACGTCCCCGTGCTCCGGCCCGGTTGGCTTTTGCTAACGGTCCCTTGGAAGTGAATTTCGATGTGAAACCTTCGAGTGGGATTAGAAGTGAGACACTCAGCAGAGTTATTTTTCCAACTGGGTCAAGATATATCAGGAATAACTTTACAGGGCTGTGGCCGGCACCTTTTACAAAGTGAAACAAGGTAGAAAGGATCGAACTGCATCCATGGGGACAGTCGAAAGCTTTACCAGCTCTATGAGCACCGATCGTTCCGAGCGGTGCTGTGACCAGCTGGGCCGGGCGTAAGCGGTGACCTGCGTCCACCGGCAGGTACTATGTGGAAACTGGCTGGTCACGAGAAGCTCTGTTTCCTGAGACTGACATTTCCGTTACGTGCTCATGGGCCACAGTGGAAAAAATGATCCCACGTTGTGCGTTGGGGTCGAAGCGTTCGCGAGCCCCAGGCCTAGCGCGGGGCCTGGCTCGCGATCCCAGTCCGGGAGACGTTTGTGGAACAGGGGAGCGAGGGAATGAGAAGGGGGGGCTTGGTGACAAGGACGCACGTGAGGAGCTGGGGCCGGGGCCGGCAGAGGAGACGGGGGTGCGGGGCGAAGGCCGACTTACTTGTTGAGCTTCTTCTTTATTTGCTGGCCTTGGTCCCAAGTGAGAACGCGCAGCAGCCATTTCTGGGATGGAGAAGAGAGTGGCCTGGGGTGCCCTTCTGCTGGCGGTGCTCAGCCCCTGCCCCCAACCTGGGCTCCCCTGGGTAACCCCCACCACCACCCCGAGGCCAGAGGACACGGCCAGGACGTCAGGCTCCAGGCCGAGGAGTTCGAGGGCAAAGAGGGGGCGGAATAGCTTACCTCGGAAACCACGGATGGCCACTGTGCCAGGCTGGTGGTCAGGGTCCACTCCTTAAAGCTAAGAGAGGGGCACAGAGTGAGTGTGGCTGCCAGGCCCGGCCCGGCCTGCTTGTCCCCGCCCAGGGGCACTCACCTGCAGGCTTCCCGGCACACCGCCTGGCAGCCCAGCTGCTCCTGGACGAAGGCCTGGTACAGCTCGTAGTAGCAGTACACTGCGGGGCGAGGGCGTGGCGTGAGGCCGGCGCAGGCCGGGCCTGGGAGGCTCCGGGGCACCACGGCCTCCGCCTAATGATGTCCCTTGCCACTCTCTCCACGCACACACGTGCACACATGTGCACACACATGCACACACGTGCATACACATGTGCACACATGTGTGTGCACACATACATGCGCACATATACACGCACACATGTGTGTGTCCACACGCACGCACACACGTGCACACATGTGCGCAAGCATGCAAGCGCATGCATGCACATGCGCACATGCACACACCTGCACACACGCATGCACGCACATGCACACATGTGCACACGTGCACGCATGCACGCTCATGTGCACACACGCACACAGCACGCACACGCGCACAACGCGCAGATGCACACACAGGTGCGCACATGCACACATGTGCACACATGTGCGCAATGTGCACATCCACACATGCATGCACACACCTGTGCAGACACATACACACATTTACACATGCACACACGCACGTGCGTGCACACACACACGGCTTCTTTGGAAACAGACGCTGCGCTGTGACGTGGGGGCAGGAAGGTG